ATAATCAAAATTATGGGCTTGCCTAGATATCTTAAAGGCATCAGATCTTGCCTGAGCTTGAAAGCAAAGCAAAATTAGCCATGGTTAATGCTGGGATGGAAGAGCATCAATGAAAAGCAGATCTTGTAGGCTGTATTTCAGAGGAAGGAATTGGCAAACTAAATCAGAGTATTCCATGCTTAAGAAATGGGGTCACCATAAGTTGACAGGTGACTTGAAGGCATACACACACAATTTTGCAGCTTTGTAAACTGTGGTGGCACAGTGAGTTAAACCGCTAAGCTGCAGAACTTGCTGACTGGAAGGTGAGCTCCCGTTGTTAGCCCACCTTCTGCCAGCCTAGTAGTTTGAAAACAGGCCAATGTGAGTAGATTGATAGGTACCACTTTGACAGGAAGGTAACGGAGCTCCATGCAGTCATGTGACCGGCATGGCTGTACTTGTCCGAACGCATCCACCCCTATGTCCCACCTCGTAATCTAAGATCATCCGGGGAGGCCCTTCTCTCACTCCCYTCAACATCACAGATGCGCCTGGTGGGGACAAGAGACAGGGCCTTCTCGGCTGTGGCCCCRGCCTATGGAACACACTCCCAAATGAGGTAAGATCCGCTCCCTCRCTCCTGGCTTTTTGAAAAAAAATTAAAATCATGGTTTTGGGACCAGGCCTTCGGGCAGTAGAAGTAAATGTATGCAGCATTTCGGAAAGACAATGACTGGAACGGCAATTCGACGGARGAGACTGTTTTATTGTTTTAATGATTGTTTTATTGCTCATGGATGTATTTTTAAATTTAATTTATTTCTAACTGTAGGGTATAATTGTAATTGTTTGTACTGGCATTGAATTTTTGCCATTACTTATGTGTAAACCGCTTTGAGTCCCCCTRGGGGTGAGAAAACCGGTATGCAAATACTGTAAATAAATAGAAATAAAATAAATTTGGCTTAGACATGGAAATGAGCACCACCCTCCAGAGTCAGACTTGACTAGACTTAATGTCAAGTGGAAACCTTTATCTTCACACTGACCTATTGTTTTATTACTGATACTGGGATAGAGACAGTAGCCAAGATCAAAGGCCAAGATTCTTAACTTTACAATGATGTAACATGGTGTGCAGCCTTACTAGTGAATTGCAACAATGCATATTGGGATGATGTCCAAAACATCTTGATATGCAATGGAGGCCCTATTGATGAATTGGGCTCATGGTGCTATGGACACACTTCTTTTGCAATGGGACTGAAGATGTGGTTATGTTTCTACTCCTCTCCTATGCACACAGATAGGCACAATTCAACTTTAGATAATTTTAAGGTCTTTTATCATGGTGACACAAACTAAAGTGATGCCACCTTATAGGAATGAGATCTATTAAGACTAGAAGCATTGATTAAGGCAAACATAATATTAACATCATAAATAGACATCAAAAGCAAGAGGAGGGTAAAGAGTAGCACCCCCCTCCCAAATAGCGACATAACTTCTGGAGTAATTTGACAGAAGTCCTATGCTGACATCTCCTTTTCTCCATGTGTCTTTGCCCTTTTGCTTTCTCTTTGCCTTGTCTATTATAGTTCTCTCTTCCTTTCCCATCTCTGTTTAACACTCCTCCTCTCCCCTTGTCCCTTTTCATCCTTGCAGGATTTCTGAGGCACTTGTCAGAGGTCTGAACAGATGGCTTACAGAGAGCTTTTGAAATGAAGCTTAGGGCTCTGTGTAGATCCACAGGTTGCTGACCTTTGCTTTTGGAAGACCCACCAAAGTCACAGGTGTGACTGGCTTTTGAGTTCTCCTGGAGTCTACTTCAAGCTGGATGTTAAACTAAGTATCCTGATAAGAGCCTTGCACACTTCAAACTGTGGCATTTTAACATAATGCTCTCCTAGTTTGGTGGCAGAGCTACATACCTAGACTACAGAAAATCCCAACTTCAATCTCTGGCAGCTTCATTCAGATCTAGGCAGGAACCCTGTTTGAAATGCTGTGAAGCTGCTTTCAGTCATCGTGAACTGTGGGATGTCAGTGAATTACAGAGTTCATCATGCATCTCATTGCTAGTTAGATTGGCTGGGCCTGATGGGAATTGGAAGTCAACAATAGGAAAACTTCAAGTTCCCTTTCCATATAGTTGCTTGAAACAGATGCCTCACTCATGACCCTTCTATACAGCACCTAAAAAGCTGAAGTTATCAGGTTAAAAGGGAGATGGCTACATGACGCTAGTGGGAAATCTGCACTTATTCACTGCAATGGATGAAAAACACATCTTAGAAAGATCTGCTTATGTCCCTATTCTGATTGGAAAATGTGCATATTCGCATTACTGTATATCCCTGCACTTGCAAAAAACACATGATTTCCTTCCCTTTCCCCTGATCACCCAATTGGGCTGTGAAAAGGACACACAGGTGGTTTAAAGGAAGCATGAACAGAGAGTCATTAGACCTCTCTGAGACTCTTTATTTTACACTTTATAATTTTAAACAGAGCTTGAACAAACAATTAGAGGAAGACAGAAATCTGGCTGAACCTCACATGTGCACATGCAAATCTATATTAAGATAGATTAACATATAGTCCAGTACATAATAGAGTGATTTCTTTTCTTTCTTTTTTGTTTTAAACCTTCTGCTGGATGTCCTACATGCACCCTTCATTTTGTTTCTGATTTAGACTGTGGAAACTATCTCAGAGTAATCAGACACTGTATCTAGTTCTGGGATGGGAAACTTTTACAAGTTTGGGAGAGACTTTCTGTTTTCACCAAACCTTCCACAGACCACACCTCCCCAATGCAATTCAGCTAAAAGCACACAGCCAAACAGTGACAGCAAGCAGGAAAACTATATTTAAAACTAACATTTTAATTACAGTTTTGTGCCACCGAAATATTGTGGCAAATCTCTCCACATTCTTTAGAACAAGCAAAATATTTGACTTCAATTGTGTTTTCTGTTCAGGTACTGAAATTCAAACAAGGAAACTACTTGGTTTAGGGGGATTCTTCATGGATTGCTACCCAAATGTGGCATTTAAGATTTTTGGTGTTAGAGAACAGGCACAGAAGTGGTCTTAGCACTTGCATGTGGTCTATTTATCGTTGCCAGGCTTTCAAAATAGCAATGAAACAATTGCGATTCATTACTCATAACAACCAGAAAGTAGCTGCAAACATGGTATTCTCTGTTCACATGCCAAAAATGTAACTATAAAATTAACATTGTCCATATTCTGATCAACATAAATTGAATTATTTATAAGCTTCTATATTTCTGAAAATTCAGTCTTGTATGTTTTAAAACTCATAACAGCATTTTAATATGTATTAAAACCAAATTTGTTTTAACCCTATCAAAATGCTTCCTAACTATGACTAAAAGTCAAATAATTCACATTTCAGATTTTGTTACAGTAAAACTCTCATCACTCCATTTATGGAGTACAAAAAAAACAAACTCCTTTCCTACAAATCATTATCCCTGAAATGCTCCAAAACAACAGAACCTGAGCAACAGTTACATTAAAATCCACATTCAGAATAACAACCAAACCAGACTTTAAGAAATTTACCCAGATGACCACAGAAGCCCCGGACACTTTAGCTTTTTCCTATTTCCTATTTTGACACCATTTAATCTTTAATCACCTATTCTGCAACTTTCTACATTCCATAACATTCTATTTGAATTGGAGTAGCAGAATGCAACACAAGATGAACCATGGTATTAACTGTTATTTCTTGTACTGGCAGTGGGTTGGATTAGATTAGAAGAATTTTGGGAGCCCTTCCTATTTATGGATTCTATAGGATTTCACAGAGCCATATGATGGAATTATAAGGTTCATTCCTAACTTCTGCAGCACATGTGTTTGCCTTGAGCCAATTGCAGGATCTTAGCTCATCCTACCCTAAAGTGTTAGGATAAAAAGGCAGTCACTGTGTGTATGCCAAAGGGAGAATGTCTCAGACTCCTTCTTCAATCATTTTGATTGCATGCTGTGGTGCTCAGAAAAGAAAAATTCCTAACTTTAGGCAAAGGAAAAAGAGAAGGGAGGTCTAATGAACTGGTGGTGAGCTTCAGACATGCTTGCACCTGCAACTTCTTGAAAAGCAATGCTTTTGGGTTGAACACCATAAAATAAGAGAAGTAAGGTTAAACACTGTGAAAGCCATCCACTGCATGGTTATCAGTCTCTTCCCAGTAGACTCAAATCAAGGAAAAGTTTCATGAGAACCACCACTCCTCTTAATGTTTACCCAGCAACAGCAAGAGTATCCATTTGGGCAACTAAACCAGGAAATTCCAATTGAATGGTCCCCCACAAGGGTCTTTCTCCAGGGGCAAAGCAAGAATGAACAATTTGGAAGTCCCTGAAGAGACTCAGAAGTAGTGGGCAGATCCAAAGACAACCTGGCAAATGGCACTACCTAAAAGAATCCTCCACCTTGTGCAACTGTGGTGCAGAACAAACAACTCTGCATCTGTATGCATGTCCATAATGTCCTGTCTCATGCACAGAGGAAGAATCATTTAAAGCTACAAACAATGTGGTCGCTGTTGCCCATTTTTGGTCAAAAACTATTTAGCTGCATGCGCTCTTTGTATTTTATCAGATTTTATACTTATTTATACAATGCTTTTGACACAAAACAAACAAACAAACAAATAAATATAAACCTGCAACTTAAATCATCCACACTTCTAAGATTTTTGATGTTTCATTCATTCTACATACAAAAAGCTTTCCAGCCATCAAATAAAGACATCACTTAAAATAAAGGACACTTAGCAATCCCATATGGGGCATGTTTCCAAGTCTTTAAATACAGGACATCTCTTATAATAAGAGACAGTGGGCAGCTTTACATTCATAGATTGTATGGTGTGTAAGCATTTATTTAGATTTTGTATTCTGAACCCTCTTTCTCCTTCTGAAACAATAGGAACAAAGCTAGGAGTCAACATAGTGGATATTAGAGTGATGAATAAAACCTGATAGAGTTGTTGGTCACATCAGGGTCCTTGGCATGTATCATTTGTATGGTGGTCCCAATGTCCACATCTTCAGGTACCTCCACAAAATAAATGCTAGGCTCGAAGACTGGGGGCTCATCCACATCCTCCACAGTGATATGCACAGTTGCGGTGTCACGGAACGGGCCTAGGTTCAAGAAGCGCATTTCCAGGTGAGGATTAGCACCCTCGACTTTTAAAGTATATGTTTTCTTGCTCTCAAAGCTCAGTGGCTGCAAAAGACAACAAAGAGACAGAGGAGGAAGAAGTTAGAAGAACACTTCTCAAATGGGAAAAAAAAAAATTTGATCCATATCACCCAACTCTCTTAAAATAAAACATATTCCCAGGGTATGGAAATGACTTTTTAAAAGAGGTTCCATGGGAATGGAATTAATTGCTTCCACAGTCCTTTAAAATCAAACTAATAACATGACCCCACTAGCATCAGCCAAAAATTTACTTCCAAGCTTCCCTCTCCTTCAGTAGTTACTATTTTTTTCTAAACAACAATTTTTTCCCATTTGTCAAGTAGTTATCTTTAGTTACTTTAAAAGTCACAGCAAGACAAAACTACTGGACTGTGATAGAAAGCACATTGCCCTTATGTCCACCTTGTTATCACCTCAACATCTGAACATGTGGCACAAACATAAGGCACAGCATGAGCTTGCACTTTAAGTATGCAGTTTGTTCTCCTTCCTTGAGTGAGGCTACATCTCATAATTATAAATGAAAAACTTAAGTTACATATATATTCTTTGTTAAATGTCAGTCCTAATGCCATGTAGCAATGCCATCATGATTGGAAAAAGGAGTTAATTTTCCAAAATGCAGTGTTTTCTTGCTCTACTGCAGTGGTCTTCAAACTTTTTTAACAGAGGGCCAGGTCAGAGTCCCTCAAACTGTTGGAGGGTCAGATTATAATTTGAATAAAGCGTGAATGAATTCCTGTGCACACTGAACATATCTTATTTGTAGTGCAAAAACACTTAAAAACAATACAATAATTAAAATGAAGAACAATTTTAACAAATATAAACTTATTAGTATTTCAATGGGAAGTTTGGCCCTGCTTTTGGCTGATGACATAGGATTGTTAATGTTGTTGTGTGCTTTCAAGTTGTTTTAGACTTAGGTTGACCCAGAGTGAGGGCCGGGTAAATGACCTTGGAGGGCCGTATCCGGCCCCCGGGCCTTAGTTTGAGGACCTCTGCTCTACAGGGTCCATGTAAATGTGTTTGGCTGGGTTGTACAAACAAACTGGAAATACGTGACATCCCCAGTGTTAATTTTATCAATAGACAATCCACCCCCCACCCGCTTTATGCACACCTGCTTATATATTTCAAATGCCTGCAGCCTATAACTTGGTGGCTGTGTTGAAATAGGCACAAAATCACAGAACAGCAAAGTTAGTTTCTACTATTTTCTCTCCAGTCATGATCATACTGAAATTTTAGATATCCTGTATGTGCACATGGATACAGATAGGGATGCATATTGAAAGTCCATGCAATGTGGGCAGACCAAAAATTTATACTGATTGTAATTGGACACTAATTTCAACTGCTTGAGAGATTCTGGGAGCTATTGCTTGAAAGAAAAATCCCTTGCTTTTTCATATCTCCCCTTCAACCCTTTCCTTCTGCTTAATGTTTCTTATCCCTTCTGCTCCCAAATTGCCAACTAAATGCTGATGTTATGGAGCCTCCTGGCTTGCCATAGCTAGCCTGCCCTCTTCACCAGTCACTTGAATTGCCCCCTTTCAATGATTTACTTTTCAATTGGCCCAGTGTTTTGTGGCTGTTAAACATGTCTTCAATAAATTGTCTCTTTCTCCTATTTTTTGGTATGTTTTTAGTTGTACTTTTGAGTTATGTTAATCCCACAAACAAACATTGCATTTATATATAGAGAGATTTAGCTTTTTCTGCCATATACTGTTGGTGTCTCAGTAAATCACAACTTGCATAATTCCATAGCACTTATCCATGGCAGGGCCCCCGAGTGGCACAATGGATTAAACCCTTGTGCCAGTAGGACTGCTGGATGAAAGGTTGGCGGTTTGAATCTGGGGAGCGGGGTGAGCTCCCATCTGTCAGCTCCAACTTCCCATGCGGGGACATGAGAGAAGCCTCCCACAAGATGGTAAAACACCTGGGTGTCCCCTGGACAACATCCTTGCAGATGGCCAATTCTCTCACACCAGAAGTGACTTGCAGTTTCTCAAGTCTCTTCTGACATGATAAAAAACTTATCCATGGCAATTAAAGTGGTGTTAAACTACATTAATTCAACAATGTAGATGAACTCTTAGTAAAGTATACCATGAGCCTGAGTTTTCAAGACTATAACAGGGCTTAGAGAGTTTGCATTTACAGGGTCACCATAAGTGGAAGCCAGTTTGATGACAATTAAATAACTTGTTTTAAATCAGTGAGAACATGACATCAATAGGTAAATCAGCATTCATGTAAATTCTATTGATTTGGTGGGGCTTCTTGGTTTTGGACTAACAACTGGAATCAGGAGTCGGAGATAAAGTTCATCATAAGTAGAAATGATGTGTTAAATACTCGGTAAAGTTATTTTCATTGAAGAACAAACCCCAGAATCACTTAGTAACCATGGACGCAGGGGGCCTGTAAGATTTGTAATTCACAAAGTAACTTCTCCAAGCTCTGTGTATTCTAAGCTCCTCAAACATCCTGTAAAAATACTATATGGATAAGCATATAATTATACTTTTAATTGCTACGGTGCAGGTGTGTTTAACATATTAATCCTATTAATTTCCATGACAGAGAGTTATGCCCATACTTTAGTATTCAGCTGATATCAGGGATTCGGGCATGCATTGCTTTGTCTTGCTTATAAGCCCCTTATTATTATTACTAAACTTTACAGGAGGTATTTACCACACAGCAAATGGGATCCCAAAAGGCATCGTACGAAGCAATGCCTTTTGAGATGAAAATTTTGTTTCATGCTGTGTTTTCATGCCTCTTTTCTTGGTACATTGTACATAGGAAGAAAATTAATGTTGGTAATTGTAATGCAGTGATCATTAATGCGTGCCTTTTATGTGGAACAATAAAAAGGATAATTGAAGCAAAAGTTGGTGACAGCAGCAAAGCAAGGAATGACCAAAGAACCTTCATAAAAGTGGATATGGAAACAGTTGCAAGAAACTTATGGAACATTATGAGAACGCCTGCTGCTAATTTAATTTCCAAGAATCTAACGGTTATACAGTCTTTACTTTTACATAATGGGTAGTTTACTGCTGAATATTAGCAAAATGGCATCCTCATAATTGGCACAAACCTTGATCTAAATAAAATGCATGCTTCTTTAAACAGTTGTCTCACTTTTAGAAGCAAAAGCATTGGAAGATGTTCATTTTTTTGTCTTCCGAAATGGAGGTCTTAAAATGAATCCATGGTAGATTATGCTGAGTTTCATTTTTAGACATGTTAATGTCCTTGAGTAAGGGCATTGATCAACGCAGCAGGGCATTAGCTGATATTTTAACATTAAGAGCTGTTTTAGACATTCTGCAGACAAAAATCCAGCTTTAGCAACAAACATTCAAGCAGGAACTATGGCTACTATCAAATCTTCCTCATAGTCATAACCATAAGGTGCATATGTTTCAAAATATAGGGGGTTTTTTTGGTCAGATTCATGCTTTACATTATTGGAAAAATATTCTGTATGAGCCTGTTTGTTTATTTATTTATTTCAAACATTTGTACCCCGTCCTTCTCAACCCCTGGGAGGGGACTTAAGGTGGCTTACATCCGGCACAATTTGATGCCACTATATATCAATAATACATACAGTAATTACATATAAATGATACATTAAATTAATTTAAAATGTGTATAAAATAAAAAGTACATTAATAAAAAGTACAGTATAACTGGCTGTCTAGCCTTATGTAGAAATGAATTCAGCAATCACAACACAATCGGAAACCTATCCATAGTCCTTTTTCCATAACATTATCATCATTTCCATTGTCAATTATCTGACATCTACCCAAAGGCCTGGTCCCATAACTACGTTTTCAATTTTCTCCTGAAGGCGAGGAGGGATGTTGTTGACCTGATTTGGCTGGGGAGCGAGTTCCACAGGTGGGGGTCCACCACTGAGAAGGCCCTGTCCCTCATCCCCACCAAGCGCCAAAGGCAGGGCTGAGAGCAGGGCCTCTCTAGAAGATCTTAAATTACGAGGTGGAACGCAGAGGGAGATACGTTCAGACAGGTAAGCTGGGCTGGAGCCGTATAAGGCTTTATAGGTCAAAACCAGCACTTTGTGCTGGTTTTGACCTATATGGCACAATCCAAACAGAAATAGTTGTGATTAAGGAACAATAAAACCTATGGAAGACAGGGAGGGTAAGCTTCGAGAAGGAGTTGGGGGGGGGGGTTAGTTGACTTCACATCTTCCCATTTCTGGGATCTGTCTTTGCTTCTTCTCTCTTCTTTTATATTTTATCTCCTTCTTCTTCACATTTTTAAGGGCTGTGCGCCCTTTCCAACTTTGAGGTTAGATATTCAAGAAGACTCTTGAGAAGATGGAAATGGTCTGTGGATAGTTAGGGGTGGTGGCACTGATACGGGAAAGATCCATGCCCTTTCCTTGTACTGGTGAATGTGTGGAAAGGGTGAGGCTGCTGGTATCCGGTCTGGGCAGTACATTGGTCTGAATTGGACCTGACACTACTGTTCACACTATTTATTTATTTACTCTTATTTGTATCCCATCTTTCTCTACCCTGAAGGGGACTCAAGGTGGCAACATATGGCAACTATTCAATGCCGTTGAACAACAGACGTTTAAAATACATTAAGTTAAAGATTTAAAATTAAAATTAAATGCACATTAAAAACGTATAAAACATTACAATCAGTATTAAAAATCATGCTATCCACAACCGCAATCCAGGGCCATTCCAAAAGTCATTGCACATAATTCCATAGATATCACTGCACTTTAGTTAATCTCCAAAGGCTTGATCCTTCTGAAGGAAAGTGTGTCTCATTGTATTGTAACAACTACAATGTAACAACACTATCCCAAAGCCCCTCCAGATACTCCAGAATTTCCAGCAAACTGTGGAGTATCTCCCAAATTTTGCTAAAAGTGGGGCAAAGTCAGCTTAAACTGAAAAACCCAATAATAATAACAATAACAACAACAACAACAACAACAACAACAATAACAACAACTTATTGATATTCCACCCTTCTCCTTGTGGGGACTCAGAGTGGAATACGGTGTAAATAGATACCGACAAACATTCAATGCCTTGTTATAATACAATGAAACACACACAGAAATAAATGCAGAGGCTTCTCCTTTCATTTCCGGCTTTGGAGGTGGGGCTCATTTCTGGCTCTGGGGGAAGTGCTGTTCTCCATTTCCAAGCTGAGGAACCTGCGTTGTCACCTCCTGGTTGTGTGACTGACATGACTGCTTGGAGCATCTTATGCCTTTCCTGCCAAAGCGGTACCTATTTATTCACATTTGCATGTCTTCAAACTAGGTTGGCAGGAGCTGGGCTAATAGTGGGAGCGCCGCCTTGCAGATTCGAACTGCCAACCTTCAGGTCAGCAGTTCAGCAGCACAAAGGTTTAACCTAGGCATCCCCAAACTGCAGCCCTCCAGTTGCTTGGGCCTCCAACTCCCAGAAGCCCTAATGAGCTTGTTCAACTGTCAGGAATTCAGGGAGTTGGAGGCCCAAACAGCTGGAGGGCCACAGTTTGAGGATGCCTGGTTTAACCCATTGCACCACCGCAGCCCTTACTATTTCACCACCATGGTACTCACCAGAAGCTGCTGTGAATCATGGAGACAGCAGTGAGTATGTGGTTTTTGGTTAATGTAGACCAGCCCCAAGATACTAAAGTTTCAGTTCTGTACAGATACACATAGGAAAAATAATTGCCACTGAACTCAGGGCCGTTCCACACAGCCGTATAAGCCTGAATATCAAGGCAGAAAATCCCACAATATGTGCTTTGAACTGGGTTATCTGAGACCAAACCGTCATTTATTCCAGTTCAAAGCAGAAAATGTGGGATTTTATTCAGCTGTGTGGAAGAGACCTCAGAGAAGCTTACTTGTGAGTAGATCTGTAAAGAACTGTTGCTATTAGTTATATGCTATTTGACATCAGAGGGAAATGTCTGAATGGTCCTTCTGTCAATTAGAAGCAGCGTACTCCACATTCTAAAATAGAAGCTATTTCTCCCCCTGACATTTGGACATAATTAAACATTTAAATTGAGTAATTGCACAACTGAGACAGTTAAAAGGATGGTTTGCATGCGAGCCTCTCTGGGATGATGTACTTATTATAATGCTTAGTTATAATGGGACAAAACTTGGCAGTCCTTCTGCTTTATGAAGACTCTTCGGAAAGGAGCCATTTATACTCCAGATTCCACTTTAAGTGCTCTCTATGGCATTCTGGGATTTGCAATTTGCTGGGGTCGTAGAGCTGAGAATACAAAAGTCTCTTCCCCAAATGGCAAACCCTAGGATTCCATAGGATGGTGCCATGCGGTTAAAGTGAAATCATACTGCTATAATTGGTTAGTGTACAAGGGTCTTAGATTGCCTGTACCAGGGAAAGATTCTTTTCTGGAAAGGATGGTGGCATGACACAGAAGGAGCTCAAGAGGACTTCTAGTATTTTCCGATATTTTTTTTTGGTCATATCTCTACTTCTCACTAAATGGCACCTGCAAAAATTATACTGTGAGTTTTTGAAATAAAAAATAACTTTAAGCACTTAAGTTGGAGTTCTATACCGACACAATGGCCATTCATCTAGCCCAGTGTTTCTCAACTTTTCTAATGCCACGAACCCTTAATGTTCCTCATGTTGTGGTGGACATTGCTACTTATTTTCATGGCTACTTCATAAATGTCATTTTGTTACTGCATATCAGATATGTAAATATGCAGGACATATTTTCATTCACTGGACCAAATTTGGCACAAATACCCAATATGCCCAAATTTGAATACTGGTGGGGTTGGAGGGGGATTGATTTTTATCATTTGGGGGTTGTAGTTGCTGGGATTTATAGTTCACCTAAAATCAAAGAACATTCTGAACTTCACCAGCAATGGAATTGAACCAAACTTGGTACACAGAACTCAAGTGACCAACAGAAAATACTGGAAGGGTTTGGCGGGCATTGACCTTGAGTTTAGGAGTTGTAGTTCACCTACAGCCAGAGAGCATTGTGGACTCAAACATTGATGGATCTGGACCAAACTTGGGAGTTTGGGAGTTGTAGTTCACCTACACCCAGAGAGCATTGTGGACTCAAACAATGATGGATCTGGACCAAACTTGGTACAAATAATCAATATGCCTAAATGTGAACACTGATTGAGTTTGGGGAAAACAGACCTTGACATTTGGGAGTTGTAGTTGCTGGGATTTATAGTTTACCTACCATCAGAGTATTCTGAACTCCACCAACGATAGAATTGGACCAAACTTCCCAACACAGAACCCCCATGACCAACAGAAAATACTGTGTTTTCTGATGGTCTTTGGCAACCCCTTTGACATCCCCTCACAAGTCCCTCAGGATCCCAACCCCCAGGTTGAGAAATGCTGATCTAGCCTAAACCACTTTGAATTTGGAAAATGTACACCCCTCCTGTTTTATTTTGAAAATTTGTTTCCAAGTCTGAGCCTTTGTGGTAGATTTATAGGATTGGACAGCTAACCTATTGAGTTATTATTGTACAATATCCAGCAGGAATATTTTCATATGTGATGGAGAAGAAGCATCTATTTTTGTGTGTATGCTAGGTCACAGCAAGCAAGTAAACAACACATTGGCCTCATCCTTGAGGATCCTTAAGAATCATCCATAAGAGAGGACTAGCAAATGTAATAAATGGTGTTACATACATACAACACAAAACTAATGCTTTGGAAAATTGCTTTTTGAACTACAGTGTTTAGAATCATTCAACCAGCATGGAATTATAGCAATACACAAACATCCATCCAAAGATAGCAAACACCTCTTAGTTGCTTATTTGCTTTTTAAAAAAGAGCTCGTTTATAGAGCATGTTGTTTTTTGTACACTGAACTTGCATTTTATGTAAAGCATATTGAAAAGTAACAACAACATTTAAATGCAATGAGAACTGAGATATATAACCAACATGGTAATCAGTAAAAGCGATGGAAGATTTACATTGCTGAAGAGTATAAATGTATTACCTTTCTCACGGTGATGATCCCAACTTGGTAAGTAGGATCAGTGGTGATATCAAAGACGTCCAGTCCATCTCCATCCACAAAGCTGTATTTCATTTCAGCATTAATGCCTTCATCCAAGTCTTTAGCCAAAACTCGGCCGACTGTAGAGCTGATTGGAGCAGACTCCAAAACACTCATCTGATAGTGTTCTGGAGAAACATGTCAATTCATGAAAGAGAAAGAAGAAACGATTCCAGTAACAAGCAAATAGAAGAACGATTAAAAGCAAATTAAGGACATGATCCCAAGGGGAACGTTACGTCTTTGGAGTACAACTCTATTAGCTGGCATGTCAGCTAAACTAGGAGGATGATTCTGGGAGTTGTGGTCCCAAAACTATCTTTTCAAAACATGGCACCATGCTCTAAATCAGTGATTCTCAACCTTTCTAATGCTGCGATCCCTTAATACAGTTCCTCATGTTGTGGTGACCCCCAACCCTGAAATTATTTTCGTTGCTACTTCAGAACTGTCATTTTGCTACTGTTATGAATCACCATATAAATATCTCACATGCAGGATGTGTTTTCATTCACTGGACCAAATTTGGCAGAAATACTGGATACACCCAAATTTGAAAACTGGTGGGGTTGGGGGGATTGATTTTGTCATTGTTGTAGTTGCTGGGATTTATAGTTAACCTACAATCAAAGGGAACTCTGAACTCCACCAACAACGGAATTGAACCAAACTTGGCACACAGAACTCCCATGACCAACAGGAAATACTGGAAGGGTTTGGCGGGCACTGATCTTGAGTTCTGGAGTTGTAGTTCACCTACATCCAGAGAGCACTGTGGATTCAAACAATGATGGATCTGGACCAAACTTGGCACAAATACTCAATATGCCCAAATGTGAACATTGGTGGAGTTTGTGGAAAATGGACCTTGACATATGGGCATTATAGTTGCTGGGATTTATAGTTCATCTACATTCAAAGAGTATTCTGAACCCCACCAACGATAGAATTGAGTCAAACGTCCCACAGAAAACTACCACGACCAATGGAAATACTGTGCTTCCTGATGGTCTTTCGTGACCCCTCTGACACCCCCTCATGACCCCCCCTCAGGAGTCCCAACCCCTGGTTGAGAAACTCTGCTCTAAATATATAAACAAACTGAACCATTTACAGAGTTGAGATGCTTTGACCACCAGTGATGACTCTAAAGGGAATTAAGATTGGATACTTCCTAATAGGAAAATTTCCTTTACGAGAACACTCACAGTCAACTTCAGTGGAGAAAAACCCAAACAAATTTAAATCTCCCTTGCTGAGTTTTAATAAGCTTTCCCGCATATCGGGGGCATATTTAAATGGTTCTCATCAAAGCATCCATGATTCCTGTGGCAACTTGAACGGAGAGCAAAACTGATGCATAACTGATTTGTTCTAATGGCAGGCCTGGGGGAAAGACAAATCTCAAAAGTCTCCCCCCGCCCTGACCCTTATGAATACCATGCAGCCTGAATTGATTCTTTTCACTAATATCTTTTGCTGGATGATTTCTTGACTTAAGAGTCTGCGCCATTTACCCTCTTCAGATGTTGGGGACAATATGATTTATTACCATAGCCTCTTGGACTTGAACAGCAGGGGAAGGGGAGGGCCATATATAATTATCTTATTGAAAGGCAAAATAAGTTAGAACAGAGGAATTGAGAGGTATTTTACATTTTAAAGGATAGAGGATTTGGAAAAGCAGGCAAGGGGCTGAATCCCTATGGAAACCCTAAAGTCCCCAAGACAACCACTTTCCCCCCCTTCAGGTAAAACAGCTCACAACACACAATGTTACGTTTAACAGAATAATGTGTTGTTGAAGGCTTTCATAGCTGGAATCACTGGGTTACTGTGGCCATGTTCCAGAAGCACTCCCTCCTGATGTTTCACCCACATTTATGGCAGGCATCCTCAGAGGTTGTGAGGTCTATTGGAAACTAAGCATGTGAGGTTTATATATATGTAGAATGTCCAGGGTGGGAGAAAGAACTCTTGACTGCTTGAGGCTGGGGTGCACATACCCAAGGGTTCACCACTCACGGCGTTTGGTCTGCAGAAGTTTCCATGCACATAAACATGCTAGAACTCCTCGCTGTAGACAGAGCCCTAAAATCTTCCGAGAAGCTGGTTCACGGAAGGGTAGTGCAGGTTCTGACCGACAACACCATGGTCATGTACTATCTCAACAAGCAGGGCAGTACGCATTCCCGTCAGCTCCTCTCCCTGTCCCTGCAGATTTGGGATTGGTGCATACAAAGGGGTATTCATCTTTTAGTAACACATGTGCCCAGGGAGGAGAATGCCTTGATTTACACTGAATGGCCTTCTAGTTTCAAAGCCTGGCTGGTTGCTATCTGAGGGATCCTTTGTTGGGAGGTGTTAGCTGGCCCTGATTGATTCTTGTCTGGAATTCCTCCTTTCTTTCCTTTCCTTTCAACAGAAAGGAGGAAACAATGAAAATGAACAAAATCTGACTACCAGTATCAAAAAATTCTAAAATCAGGATAGTAATAAAGATCAACACCCAAAATACAGGGGAATTCCAGACAAGAATCAATCAGGGCCAGCTAACAGCTCCCAACAAAGGATCCCACAAGCAACAACGAGCCAGGCTTTGAAGCTACAAGGGTGAAACATCAAGAGAGAATGCTTCTGGAACATGACCATACAGCCCGGAAAACTCACAGCAACCCATTTAACAGAATATATTCTAACCCAGGGGTCCTCAAACTTTTAAAACGGAGTGCCAGGTCACAGTCCCTCAAACTGTTGGAGGGCCGGATTATAATTTGAAAAAAAATGAATGAATTCCTATGCACACTGCACACATTTTATTTGTAGTGCAAAAAACACTTAAAAACAATACAATAATTAAAATGAAGAACAATTTTAACAAATATAAATTTATTAGTATTTCAATGGGAAATGTGGGCCTGCTTTTGGCTGATGAGATAGGATTGTTGTTGTTGTGTGCTTTCAAGTCGTTACAGACTTAGGTTGACCCTGAGTGAGGCCGGGTAAATGACCTTGGAGGGCCGCATCCGGCCCCTGGGCCACAGTTTGAGGACCCCTGCTCTAACCCTTGAAAGTGTGCCCTATAGGATCCGAGCAATCTTTCTCTATAGTTGAGATTTTTTTCTGCTTCCACAATAATAATATTCTCTCTCTTTCTTTTCTTCTTTCTCTCTTCCCTACTACTAATTTTATTTGTTATTTGTTACCTGCCTCTTCTTACAGCTCAAGGCAGGGCATAACACAATTAAAACACACCATTATAAAATACATACACAAATTACATATATTAAAATATGTAGTACAGTGGTTCTCAACCTTCCTAATGCTGTGACCCCTTAATACAGTTCCTCATGTTGTGGTGACCCCCAACCATAACATTATTTTCATTGCTACTTCATAACTGTAATTTTGCTACTGTTATGATTAATCATGTAAATATCCAATATGCAGGTTGTATTTTCATTCACTGGAGCAAATTTGGCACAAATACCCAATATGCCAAAATTTGAATACTGGTGGGATTGGGGGAATTGAATTTGTCATTTGGGAGTTGTAGTTGCTGGGATTTATAGTTTACCTACAATCAAAGAGCATTCTGAACTCCACCAAAGAGCACACAGAACTCCCATGACCAACAGAAAATACTGGAGGGTTTGGTGGGTATTGACCTTGAGATTTGGAGTTGTAGTTCACCTACATCCAGAGAGCACTGTGGACTCAAACAATGATGGATCTGGACCAAACTTGGCACAGATACTCAATATGCCCAAATGTGAACACTGGTGGAGTTTGGGGAAATAGACCTTGACATTTGGGAGTTGTAGTTGCTGGGAGTTATAGTTCACATACAATCAAAGCATTCTGAACCCACCAATGATAGAATTGGGCTAAACTTCCCACACAGAACCCCTATGACCAACAGAAAACACTGTGTTTCTAATGGTCTTTGTCGACCCCTCTGACACCTCCCTGGCAACCCCCTGCCCCAGGGTTGAAAAACACTGATGTAGGACAACGTCAGTGCAGATGTGGTTTTATTCAGTGGCTAAGTGGTCAGTGTAGATATGATCTTATTCAACCATATCCTTCAGAAACCAAGCTAAATTACATTTAACAGAACACATGGCATATTCTATATTGCAATTAGATTTGCCTATATGTTCTTCCACTCTCAATCTTGCCATCACTGGACCTTGGGAACTCCTTAGGGTGTTGATTTATCTTGTTGCTATTCTGTGCCAGGTCCATTAGTGGTGGTACATCATACAGAGAGAACTCAATGAGTTACTTTTTGAAAACAATACATCCTTATTTACTTATTGCTATGTCAAAGGGTGTTATTTATCATGGTTACTTGTTACAGTGACAAACTTCCACTAACTTCATTGCATTACATGCTACATTACTTTTCATTACATTTTTTGGGAAAAAGCATCCGCAAGAGATAGGTAATAACACTGAGAAATCCCACTCGGAATACTTACTCTGTGGAAATCTAGGTGGGTTGTCATTTACATCAGAGAGAGTGATATTGACAATAGTTGTCCCAGCTAATCCTCCCAGCTGCCCTCCCATATCTTTGGCCTGGATTATAACTTCGTAATATTCTTTTGCTTCTCTGTCCATGTTCATTAATGCCGTTCTAATTAAGCCTGTGAAAAGGAAAAGGAGAAATAAGGAAGCAGAAAAGACATTTAATGAGAGAGGCCAAAGGCCAGAACTTTATGAAAGTTTGCTCAGAAATGCTTCCTTTTCATAATGAAAAATAAGAATAAATCCTTCTGGTTTGGATGGTAGTGAAAAACTCCACTAAAGCCATTTTTGAGTCACTGAAGAAACTGCTGTGAAAGCCCCCCCCCCCCAGATTAGTGAAAAATAACCCCATATCCATCGATTAGTAGAGAGGATTTTAGTAGGAAAGAGACAACAGTATTCGTTTCTTAGATATTAATACCATAAACTTGGATAATCTGAATAAATGGGGAGAATTTTATGCTGAGCCATATGGATGCACTTATGCTTTTGAAGATTATTTTTAGTCATACAAATGGGGGTGGAAAGAAAATATTAGAAACAACCTTTAACAGTGACTGGTAGTGATTATTTTTGACATGTCATTTCACATTTCCTTCAATATTTAAAAATACTCATTGAGGCTTTGGTAATAAAAATGACCCTAGTTCTCTATTTATTACCTAAATGCAATGAAGACACTAAATCTCATTTGATCTTAGAAAATAAGCAGGGTAAGTCTTGGTTAATGTTCGGATGAGTTTATCACCATTGACTATTAGGTACTGTAGACTAGATTTCAGAGGAAGGAAATGACAAAATCACAATGGAGTATTCTTTGTCTAAGAAATTTGCTGTATATTCATTCAGTCACTTTTGACTCTTTGTGAACTTTATGGACCAGCCCACACCAGAGCTCCCTGTCAGCCATCACCACCTCCAGCTCCTTCAAGGTCAAGCCAGTCACTTCAAGGATACATCCATCCGTCTTGCCCTTGGTCCTTTTCCCTTCCCTTTTCCCCAGCATCATTACCTTCTCCAAACTTTCCTGTCTATGTGGCCAAAGTACTCCATCTTTGCCTCTAATATCCTTTCCCGCAGTGAGCAGTCAGGCATTATTTCTTGGAGTATGAACTGGTTGGATTTTCTCGTGGTCCAAGGCACTCTCAGAATTTTCCTCCAACACCACAGTTCAAAAGCGTCTATCTTCCTTCGCTCAGCCTTCCTTATGTTCCAGCTCTCACATCCATAGGTTACTACGGGGAATATCATTGCTATAACTATGAGGATCTTCACTGCCAGTGTGATGTATCTACTCTTCAATATTTTATCGAGATTGGTCATTACTCTCCTCCCGAGAAGTAAGCATCTCCTGATTTCCTAGCTGCAGTCGGCATCTGAAGTAATTTTCATGCTTAGAAATACAAAGTCTGTCACTGCCTCCATGTTTTCTCCCTCTATTTGCCAGTTATCAATCAGTCTGACTGCCATAATATTGGTTTTTTAAATGTTTAACTGCAACCCAGCTTTTTGCACTTTCTTCTTTCACCTGGTTATAAGACTTCTCAGCTCCTCCTCGCTTTCAGCCATCAAAGTGGTATCATCTGCATATTTAAGTTTATAAATGTTTCATACAGCAATTTTAACTCCAGTTTTGGATTCATCAAGACCCGCATGTCACATGATGTGTTCTGCATACAAGTTGAATAGGAAGGGGGAGAGTACACAGCCCTGCCATACTCCTTTCCCAATCTTGAACCAGTCAGTTGTTCTATGGTGTGTTCTGACTGTTGCTACTTGGTTGTTATACAGATTTCTCAAAAGATAGACAAGGTGACTTGGTATCCCCATACCACCAAGAACTGGCCACAATTTATTATGATCCACACAGTCAAAGGCTTTAGAATAGTCAATAAAACAGAAAACCATGTGAAATGCCTAAGAAAACCATGTGAAATGTATGGGCATCATAAGTCAAGAGGCTACTTAAAGGCGCGCGCACACACACTCTTCCTGACTAAAGTAGATTCATGGAATCCAATTAGATTTATTTATATGTTGAGTCATTATTCAAAAATTTTGTAAATGGTCCACTCTAGTTGGAACTAACCATCAGAATGCCAGCCAAATTTATTTTGAATCAACAACAATTCAATCAATTTGTTTGTTTAAGGCTAGCAGATTAACTACTAGCAAGAAATATTTAATTAGTGGACAGCTCCGCTTTGAGATCACGTTACTAACAGGCGTCTATCTTTTGTGTTGATGTGAAAAGTATATATTGGATGTTCTAAGCCAATTATAGTATATTATTGTCAGATCCAAGAAAAAGTGATGGGTGGATGCACAAGGTATTATGTAAGCCAACCATCTGCCCAAAACCAGTGTCTTTTATCAGAGCTTGCTCCTCCTTTAAAATGTAGACCACAATGTGTAGTCAACTCAACTGCCAAGAATTTGAAAAACTTACTTTTTAGGCTATCAATTCCCAGAATTGCTTAGCAAGCATGGCTATTGGTTGGAGGATTCTGGGAGCTATGGTTCAAAAATGTGATTTCCAAACTCCAGAATTAACAGTGATTAGATCTGTGCTAAAATGGCAGATAGAGTCTTGTGGAACTGTGAAGATATAAATATTCATAGAATGAGAGGCGAGATTCCTTCTTTACCATTTAACACTGAGGATCAGTGAAGTCAAATTTCCTTTTCCACAGGATTTACTAGAACAGAACATAAGGTGGCAGTAAGGTTTCTCTGATGAAGCCTGGTAAGGGCTCCCAGGTAAAAATGCTGCTTTTGCTGAATGCTGTTGCAGAAGAATGGGAACTTAGGTCCAAACCTGTATGAATTTTCAGGTAATACTTTATGATCTCATTTTCTGTCTCCTGCTCCCAGAATCTAAGAGGTTTCCTCTTTTCCTAATTCTCAGTTCATCTTCCATCTTCCTCATCTCCATATGCAAATTTCATAGAGTTTTAATTTTTCTTTCATTATGTTCAGCAAAGTTAAGTAACAAAGATCTCTCTACATACACATACACACACAAAATTTAGTTTTTAACACAACATTTGCAATTGTAACAAAACAACTGCATATAGAGAAAAATGATTTTTTAAAAAACAGGAAGGACAGGTGTGCACGGAGTCCTATAACAACCTTTGCATTGAAAGATTTTGATTTTCTAGAAGTAGCATCAGTAGGGGCATGAGGGGGTGCAAAGCATACTGGGTGACAGCTTAACATCAAAATGACTGTCTAAAAAAAATTGTGCAGAGTGAAGCTACTTTTGCTCCTCACATCCCAATTTAGGACTATGTGTGCTGTGTGTGCTCCCCTAAAAAGGGGAGCTCTCTTCACCAACAAAAGACCAGGCCTTGATTCCTGGATCTCCTTCCTCTGCTCTAGAGGTGCCACTACAACTCTCCTGATTGCAGGGATGAGGGCCACCTCAGGGCTGCTGGAGTGGGTCTTCCCATTCCATTCTGGATGTGTTGCTCCTCTTCCTATGTGCAAAGCTGGATCCCCAGTTCTCCCTTATCAGGATACCAATAATGTGCATAGGTGTCTCTCTCCCTACCAGCTTAAATGAGCCCAGGTTCAGAGTGGTTGGCAACTGGGAGAGGGGGGTGGGCAGCTAGCCAAATGAAAGCTTAGGAAAGAGATGCCCTGCTACATGACACTCACCCACCCATCAATCCAGGAAGGAGTAGAGGAGGAGGACCTTGAAAAGAGCCAAGATCCTGTGTGTATGCACCACACTCCATGACCTCTCTCGTAGCTCCTGATGCTCACAGACTTGCCTTTGTGCACTGCGTGTCATCTAGAAGCAGCCATGCCAAGCTCATGAGACTGGAAAACTGGCATGTACATAGGGCTGTTGTGGACCTTTTCTACCATAAAGGTATGTAGGAGACTGAAGAGTCCATGGTTCATTCATGCTTTGGTTGCCTTATTTTCTTGCAAGAAGCCTCACTTTTCCAGGGACAGTTAGAAGACCTTGTAACACATGCTGCCAGAATTGCAGTGGATTCCAGTGATGTCGGCAATGCCTAACCGTTGTGTGCCACTGGCATTTTTTTTGGTGGTGGTAAAGTTTTTGTGACAGTTCCACCAGGGAGTCACTCTGGAAGTACTTTTACTGAGTGTGATGGGAACTAGCAGGCTCTGTGGCGAAAGGGCAAAAAACCACCAACTTTTGGACTGTGTGAAGAGATCCTAGGAAGCTGTGCCACAAAAAATACTGTACATGCCAATGACACACTTTCCCATGCCAATTGTTATTGTGTAAGCTCCCACAATTTATCACACAAAAATCTTTTATATTTCTGTGTAATATTTCCTGAAAAAAAGTGGAATGTGTGACTTTGTGGTGAAAAACTTCACAGAAATATTAGTTTTGTCTGCAGCAAGAAGAAAATTGTGAAAACTATTCTTCCCCACTTGGGAGAATGTAATTGTTGGAGCGCTAGCACCCCTACTCTCATTACTGTTGATGATTATATTTGTGACCCATTATTTATTCAAGGAGCCTTTGAGTCATGATTTAGCCTCACATCAATCATATGAGGTAGCTTATTCCACTATGAGTAACATTAGGTCACTCTTACAGCTGAGCAGGATTTGAATCTATATCTACACTCAACATTATAGCCCCTTTGCTTCACTAGAAATGTTCTTGTCATCCCCTCTTTAACATGAAATATATCTATCATTTGCTTCTTGGAAATAAATTACTTGCAGAGGTGATTTATACTCTAATTTCATGTTCAGGGCAACCTTACACATGATTGAAAAGCAATGCTTCATGCACATAATTTTGGTTTTCTAGAACCTTGTCAGTTTAGATTATAACCAGTTTTATAGTTCTCTCAGCCAGCATGGCGAAGTGGTTTGAATATTACACTAGGAATTTGGGAGAATCTCTGCTCACCCATGAAAGCTCCTGGGTGACCCTGGGCAAGTCATACTCTCAGCTTTGGAGGAAGGCAACAGCTAATCCCTTCTGAACCGATCTTGCCAAGAAACTCACATGACAGGTCTTCCAAAGAGTTGCCATAAGTCAAAAAGAACTTGAGGGCACACAGCCACAAGAACAACAAATGTTTCTGAATCTGTACTTGTAGTAGGTTTCATTAAGATTGTCAGTTAGATTCGAGACCTCTTAGAGTATGTGTGGAAATCACTCAGCCCTCCAGATGTTCTTAAATTACAGTTCTCAGCAGCCTTAGCTAGCACAGCCCAAAGTAAGGTATGATGAGATTTATAGTTGAGTAACAGCTGGAGAGCTACATGAGGCCCATCTTTTACTAGAGACCGATAAGGCCAATTGCACTCTACGGATCCTATTTCACAGTCTTTATACCATTGGCCATGAAAACATACTGTAGCCACTCAGGCCTGTAGCCAGAAAAAAAATTCAGGAGAGGTTGAAACTTTCCCCCCACAAAGGTTAATAGTTCCCACAATTGGCAGAAGTTTCTTTCTGTTTACTTCTGATTTCTTCTTATTTCCTTTTTCATGATAATGGGTTACATCAAAGCGTTTTCCACTGTGAATCAGCAAGAAGTTTTCAGCCAAGCACAAGTTGATCTGATGGTACTCTGTTTTCTGGTGTCTATTAAAGACTTCTGTTGCATCTTTCCATCACACAAATTGTTTAGCAACCAATGCACCAAGCTTCTGATGTACATGAAATGAGTAGGCTAATCTGGGAATTAGCCTACTCATTTGGGTTGAAAACTTAGATACCTCTTCTTATCCATAGGAAATATATATCCTGGCAACTGAGTCTATGGAATGTATTGCTGAAGGCTTTCATGGCTGGAATCACTGGGTTGTTGTGTGTTTTCCAGGCTGGATGGCCATGTTCCGGAAGCATTCTCTCCTGACATTTCACTTGCATTTATGGCATGCATCCTCAGAGGATGTGAGGCAAAATGTCAGGATAGAATGCTTCTGGAACATGGCCATACAACCTGGAAAACACACAACAACCCAGTGAGTGGATTTTCCATTAATTGAGCTTTCATTTGCTCATCAGGAACAGTCTTGGTCATATAAAGTCCAAGGTCTAACAACGAGACAGCTTCTTGTCTTTGCTCCTGTTCCACGGTTTCTTTGGCAGGCCTTGGATTAGAGGAACCAGTGTCAGATGTCACAGTTTCCTCAGTTTCCACCTCAGTTTCCAATTCAGGTCAATCCCTCCTCCTTGCTCCCCATGCCTTAGGCTTTGCTTGCTGGCTGCGGGTAGGCCAACTTGGTTGCTTCCACTATGCCAGCTATTGCTGCTATTACAATGTAAATTGGTAGAAAGATAGGTAATGATCATGTGAATCATCAACATTTGGTTAAGATTGTGTTTGCCATTCTGGAGGGAATCTAACTTTTGCTTCTCATAGACTTGGCAGGGAGATTTGGTTCAGCAGTTAAAATCCATGTATAAACCAGGTTTGTTTGTTTGCTTTTTACCTGAAAGATTTTGGGGGTGGTTTGAACCCCTAAACTGCCCCCTTGCTTCAGCTAGTACTGCTTTGCACATTAAAGTATAGCACACTAATCCTGCATTTGCCACATTTTCAACATCTCCTCTGCCATATTAATATATTTCTTTTAGCCTCCATTTAGCGACCATTTTGATCTCCTAGAGTTCCATGAAATGTGCTCACACAGAGTTAATAGTTCTTTTTCTTTGATTTCAGCCATCCCAGAATTGATGCTGGAGTAGACACACCATTTCTCATTTGTGCTTTTTTTCCATACTTATTTATTGAAAGAAGGTACTTGGCTTGAAAAATAATGGAAGGCATAGTCACTGATGACTGGGATTTCTGGAGATGAAGTCTATGCCGCATAAGGTATGAAAGCTAATGGGAAATGTCACATTCTCCGCTGATTTTTCTCCTCAATGAAATTACCTGTTCTGGAGTCCACGGAGAAATATGGCTGTCCTTGGAGAATACTGTAGACGACCCTGGCACTGTTCCCATAGGTAGGATCGTCAGCATCTGTAGCTGTCACTTGGATAACAGAGGTGCCTGGCAAAAAACAGCGTAGAACCTTGTTAGATTTGTAGCCATGGAGAAAGGACACATATCTACCTAGGTTCACTGAATTATAAATGTTCTGCTCATAGAACACTTGCTTAGAAGCCTATTCTCTTTCCGATGCTTCAGGGATTTACACATACACCTCATTAGCACTAATGGGAGCACCAGGCACAAATCCATCAGACATCAGCGGGACAGTAAATAATCTGTAAATAAAACACGACTTGGTGTGCATAAGTGACACTCAGTTGCAAGAGTATATCTATCCTGCAAGTTCTGTTGTGTAACAATGTATTTAAAAAACCCACGTTAATAAAAAAAATAGTGCAAAATTATACAATGCAGAACATCAGTGCTGAGTTTGATGAGAAGGAAAAGGTACCTGAACTCCTAATAACCATCTCCCATCTCTCATGAAACACATCTTTTGTTATGTAAGCATCAAATTATGAATAGAGATTTTCAATTATAGCTGAGAGATTCAACTTGGTCTATTGAAGTTCAAATTGAACTTACTGTAAACCATAGATACACATTTTGTCATGCTCAAAATGTGAGAAAGGTGTGGGCTAATATTTGGAGGGGGAACCCTTGGTATGTGGCTATAAATTGTAGTTTATAGCTGAAAATTCTGCTTGACTTTTTATTTGCCTGTTTGTTCTACACCGTGACATACATTTTTATGCATGAATGCTGATATTCGACCCCTGTGGGCTCCTGCAATTTCCTTGGACTCGGTTCTGTCAGATTCAAGTACCATTAATTAAGAACAGAGTTAAACATATGTTCCATTTTCTCTCATTTAGACTTACAGGAATTAAAAGTACTTAACACTGGCTGCATTGCATAATATCCTGCTGCAGTGATGAATTTATTTTTACAAACTTAGTATTTAATTTTGTAAAACGTGTCTTGCAAATTTAGTATTTATTATTGTAAAATTTATCTTGGCAAAATAAGGAACAGAAGGGACAAGGAAGTTTGCAATACCCAGCATACACACATACACAAATATATACACACAGAAAAAACAGTCATCAGTCAGGTTTTACTGTATACATTATACGCTATATAACCTCTGGTTCTATAACTAAAATCGATATACATGCTTAGGGATTAATAGAATAATCACTCAGGCATCATTCCAAACAGCTTTTAGGCATAGGTTTGGATGGATGGGGAAGAGCAACAACAAAGCAAAAGATGGAGAAAAAATGGGCTCACAGCATAAAATAATATATATCTTCTTGGCGAATTCTACTGTGAAAAGGATCAAAAGGGAAGTTAAGAAAATAGGAAGCATTAAGATGGAACTATAACTAGGTAACTTATCTGCCTCTTTATATTATAACATCTTAAATGGCAACAGCATTCAAAAGGAGGAGGACAGGATTTCAATACTGCTTCATAACCCAATAAACTGTGTGGAGAATACATCTGGTGGCATTGCCGGCATTACAAAACAACCAGTCGATTTCTTATCCTATAAACTTTTCCAGGTTTAAGGTGCTTTTAAACTACTGTTGGCTTTCCCTGATCTATGACTAGTCAAAGACTCTTTTAGCGCCTGGTGTAAAACCGGCTGAGGCTTCTGAACGTTGCAATTTTCACCAGATCATGATGGCCCCCCAGGGTTCACTAAACAGCCTGGAAATCAACAACATTGCTGCCACAGTTCCTTGGGGTCTCATCTTTATGAATCTGTGCACTCTGTAATGGACCCATGGACAAAACATTGTCTGAGCACATCAGTGTCATTTTTATGGTTACAGAGTACAGCAGGCATGCACAATCTCTATGGCCCTCATCACATGGTCCAGAAACTGGGGGAAAGTGGGAGAAATGGTGGGGCAGTGCCCAGCTTTGTCCCCTTACTGTGGTTGGTCGTGGGCTGTCATCCCATGATGTTTCCCAGCTGTTTCCAGCTTCTTCCTGTGCTGTCCCTGGCTTCTTCAATGAGGATATGGGTTACTCGGGGTTCCCTCTTAGTATGTTTTTGGTACACTGCCTGGGTGGAGCCCAATGGACCCCCGCTGGAAGCAGCCCTGCATTATTTGATTGGCTTCGGCATACTCTGTCCCGGCAGTGTACTGGCAAGGCACTAGGACTGGGAAAAACCCCAGTCTGATGAGGTTGTATGACTACCCATGTGTAATGAACCCCTAGGCTTCATTTTTACATTGTCTGCTTAAAATTGCAGGATGCTGTGTGTAACTGTGTTATGAGGAGTTACCTGAGCTATCTGATATTCCTCACTGTTCAGAGGACAAAGTTGTGTATGCCCATGAAAGACATATGCTATCATAGGAGTGGGAAAAAGCTCTATATTGCCACTATGATTAGGAACAGTTAATGTTGTAAAACTGACCACATCTGATTTTAGAAGTTTAGTCCTGATTGGTACCTGGATGGAAGACCAGCAAGAATACAGGGTGCTTTGACTGTATTTTACAGTAAGGAACAGGCCAAACCACTTCTGAGGCTACCTTGGTAAAGAAAATCCAATAAAAGTCATGGGGCACCCATAAGTTAGCAGGTGACTTCAAGACACACATACACAAGTATGCAGTTTTGTGGACTGATCTCCTGCTTCAATACTGATAGCCATTAATCCTAATATTGTGTTAGAATGTTCGCATCACACGTCCTTTTATTGTTTCCTTGATTCCCTCCTTTTATATACATTGCCAGGGTAGAGCAAATTAAATAAATCAACTAGAAAACTTTCCCCCATAGGATTCATGTTCTGTTTGCCCAAAATATAAATTCCAATGCTAATAATTTCCATTCTCCCTTATACATTGCTTTTCTGAAGGAGTTCAACAAAGTCAAAATCTTTCCCTATTGTGCGTATTGACTTGCTCTCTATAAATAAAAAATGTGTCCTTAAAGTCCCTCTTACCCACTGGTGACATTTCTGGTACTGAAGCAACATACGGTCCATCCAGAAACTTAGGTTCATTGTCATTGATATCTTGGATTTTGATGATAAATTCAGATTCTGGTTCCATTGGTCTTCCTGTCCGTCTGTCCAAGGCCTGAGCCCTTAGTGTATACTGGGACCTTTCTTCTCTGTCTAGTCTTTGTATGGCATGGATGTCCCCAGTAGTGTCATCGATGGTAAACACAACACCCGCTCCTTCTCCTGAAAGAATATATTTGATTGATCCATCTCCTCTGTCCATATCAGAATGGAGCTGCAAAAATGAAAATAAACAAATAAAAACACCCAGATATAGTTGAGATACATACAATAATCTCATTAGAGACGATAATAGTCATTGCATTGCCTGATAACAAAAGGACATTAAAAAAAGATTCCCAACAAGACTTCTTGGGGCGAGGAACTGAAATGTAGTATGCCACAATGTAATCCTTGGAAAGCCACTAACTTCTAAAATCCTGCAACCACTAAGACATAGCCATTAGGCTTGGGTGGTTTCGTTCATTAATTTCGTAATTCGTTATTCATTCGTATTTAAATTAGCTTACGATCCAATATTGAGCCATGCAGGAATAGTGTGAGGAGTAAATTAGATTCGAAACAATTTTTTCAATTTATTTCGTAATTATTTCGAAATTATTTCGTAATTTTCGCATGTCTGGTGCAAGTTTTATAGTTGTTTGTTTTATCACACCAACAGTCAACAACAGAGGGAGAGGGAAGCTTCAGAAGTTCCCCCTGTCCCATTTGGAGGTTTTTTTAGCATATTGCAATCGCGTCCGCCATTAACGAATCGATTCATAATTATACGAAATTTCGTATATTTCGAAATTTTTAAAAGGAAAATTTCGGAATTATTAAAAAAAACGAAACGCAAGGGCCCCCTAAAAACAAAACGAGTTTAGAACCAAATTTTTCCGTGGTTACCCAAGCCTAATAGCCATTATCCTTGGATTTGAAGTGTTTTAATCCAAAGCCAAAGTTTTTCCAAGCTCTGGCAACAACTGAGAAGGCCCTCTCCACAGGATGGATGAATACATTTTCCAGGGAATATTAAATATCTCTTTTTTGCAACTGTTTTGTTTAGTCTGTTCCATTTCTGTTTTATTTAGAGCTTGAATGATTTTTTTTGCTACCCACTTCTCCTAATAGGCACACTTTGTAAGCAATTTCCTGTAATGTCTAAGAAATGACACGTTAACATATTTTTAACAATTCTAAACAATAAATAAGATCATTGGGAGACTTCCATTTTCCATTCCAAACTCAATGGCTTCTTTGCATACTCTATGGCTCTCCAACCTGCAGATTAATATTTCATTATTACCATTAGATTAAATCTAAAGTAGGAAAACAGCCATACGGTATTGAAAAGATTTCGTAAAAAATGACTATGGAAGAAAGAGAAAATTGAGCTTCAGGAAATGAGCAAATTCTAATGTAACCATTGTAAAAGGGTAAGCCAAGGTAACCAGATTGGAACATTTGAATATATACACCAACACAGCTGCTACAGACGATAATGCATCCCAGAATATTAAAGGGAATTAGTGAATTAACGCCCTGCATGGCAGCTAATTAGTTCTGAGTTGGCATTGATAATTTGGGAGGCAACACAACACAGACAAGCAAAATGCGGTATCAATTATCTTTTGTAAAAGGCAAGAAGAATGATTCAATTAGCTACAAGTCTGCTAAACACCTTTGCCTTATGAAATGATTGAAAATATTAAGAGCAAAATCACTCGAGGCTTCATCAAATGGCAAAGAGAGGCACAAGAAACAGCAGCGGGGATAGGTTTAGTAAGAGTTCTTTCCTGTGAAAACATGGTTGTTTTTCTTTACTTTGTGCGAGAGGGTAGGAAAAAATGAAAAATGAAGAGAACAGAAACACCTCCCAGCCAAAGCTTGCACATTTTTATTCTGATGTAAATTCTGCTGAAAAAAAGGGATTTGATACCTGGTGAGTATATTTTTAGGACTGCAGCTGTAGTTCCCTAGTAGAACAAAACATTAATCACCCATTAGAAAACTTCATTGAAACATGTGCCTTTCCTGCTGTACTGCAGTAACTCTCTAGGCCAGTGTTTCTCAACCTTTCTAATGCTGCGACCCCTTAATACAGTGTTGTGGTGACCCCCAACCATAAAATTATTTTCATTGCTACTTTATAACTGTAATTTTGCTGCTGTTATGAATCGTAATGTAAATATCTGATATGCAAGATGTATTTTCATTCATTGGACCAAATTTGGCCTGAATTTGAGTACTGGTGAGGTTGGGTGGGGGGATTGATTTTGTCATTTGGGAGTTGTAGTTGCTGGGAGTTATAGTTCACTTACAATCAAAGAGCATTCTGAACTCCATCAATGATGGAATTTAACCAAACCTGGCACACAGAACTCCTATGACTAATAGAAAATACTGGAAGGGTTTGGTGGGCATTGACCTTGAGTTTTGGAGTTGTAGTTCACCTACATCCAGAGAGCACTGTGGACTCAAACAATGATAGGTCTGGACCAAACTTGGCATGAATACTCAATATTCCCAAATGTGAACACTGGTGGAGTGTGGGGAAAACAGACCTTGACATTTGGGAGTTGTAGTTGCTGAGATTTATACTTCACCTACAATCAAAGAGCATTCTGAACCCTACAAATGATAGAATTGGAACAAACTTGGCACACAGAGCTCTCATGACCAACAGAAAATACTGTGTTTTCTGATGGTCTTTGGCGACCGCTCTGACACCCCTCATGACCCCCCCCCAGGGGTCCCAACCCCCAGGTTGAGATATACTGCTCTAGGCCATGTGTGGTATACTGTTAAGAATAATGCACAATGGGAGGAAAAGCTGAGGTCAACATTCCCTGTAATGGTAAATCTTGCTGGCTGACACTTTGCCTAACTTACCACAGGAACCATATATAGTCCCCCCTCCCATTCACTGGGGTTGGGGACATAAGTCCACCATGAAAGTAAACATCTGTGAATAAAGAAATTGCTATTTTTCACCTCTGTTGGGAATACACGTTCTTCCAGCATGACTCTATGGTTGACTTCAATCGGAAGCAGATCAAAAGATTGTACTAGAGAGAGGTTCTCTCTAGAAATATCTAGGTCTGGGGTCCCCAAACCAACACCCGTGGGCTGGATGTAGCCTCCAAGGTCATATACCCGGCCCTCACCCTAAACTTTTGACTTAGGGTCTCCCAAAATCAGAAATGACTTGATGGCACACAACACCAACTAATCAACTCAACTATCTCATCAGCCAAAAGAAGGCCCATACTTCCCAATGAAATACTGGTAAGTTTATGTCGGTTAAAATTATTCTTCATTTTAAATATTGTATTTTTCTTTCATTCTTTTTGCACTAAAAATAAGACATGTGCAGTGTGCATAGGAATTATTTCCTGTTGTTTTCAAACCATAGTTCAGCTCCGCAAAGAGTTTGAGGGACCGTAAACCAGTCCTTGGCTTAAAAGGCTTGAGGACCTCTGATCCAGGTCCTTCAGTGTGACCAGAAGTTGACTAACTATAGAGTCACATTAGAAGACCTAGAGAGAAATGATAATCAGATCTGTGAATTATCAAATGCATAAAACTAAAAACCACAAATGTGGAGGGATGACTACATGCTTCTCTGAGGTTAAACATAAAGGTAATACATAAATGCAGGAATAAACTGACATGGGAGTGTCACATAAAGTGGCTGCGTCCAATATCTCACTTCTCAAAAAGAAAGAACCACACAATGGGTGCCTGTCCTCTTCCAACATAACCTGATGAACCCAGAATTTTGCCTCACCACTGATATTCCATTATTCTTCCTCAGATTAGAACAGCGTCCATACACTCTGTCATCCATTTTGCCCTTTTACTAAACCAGTCATGGGGAATTTTAATTAGAAATCGCTAGTGCTGCCACTATGCTAAGTGAGGTAGCTGCTGGTGGGGTTAAGGAACAATAGTGCTGGAAATAATGATGCGTTTATTTATTACCTAACTCTCTGTAGGGGGAGACGGGCAATATTATTTATTACTAACCATCCCCTGCCATGTGTTGCTGTGGCCCAGTCTGTGTATGTGTATTGTGTGTATATATGTGTGTGTATATATTTGTGTATATGTGTTGTAATGTGTTTGTTTTGGCTTTTTAAGCTCTTCTGCTGTGTTTTTCAGTGTTTTTATGAGTGATGGTCACTCATTGGCCTGATAGGTGTATTGTGTCCAAATTTGGTGTCAATTTGTCCAGTGGTTTTTGAGTTATGTTAATCCCACAAACGAATATTACATTATTATTTATATAGATTACCATTATTACTATTATGTTTTTCTACATCCAAGAGAGGGGTGGGGGTCAAGCTACTCTCCTGTCTGTGGTGTGTGAATTCACGACAGAATTTATTCCAGGCTTCAAAGGAAGCATTTATACTGTAGAATTGTACACTGTATAGAGCCCTAAATGGTTCTGGCCCAGTCTACCTATCTGGATGTATCTTCCTCTATGAACCATTTCAGAGATTAAGATCTTCTGGGGAGGTCCTGCTCTTGGTCCCATCTCCTTCACAGGTGCGGTTGGTGGGGACGAGTGACAAGGCCTTCTTAGTGGTGGCCTCTCAGTTGTGGAACTCTGATTAGCCCCCTCTCTCCTGATCTTTAGAAAAAAACCTGAAAACTTGGATGGGGGACCAAGCATTCGATAATTGATTATGGCAATATATGAACATGGAATGGTGTAATGATAACAGGAATGGCCTTGACTATGATATTGGATTATGTGATTTTAATAATTTCAATAATTTTAATGTTGATATGTTTTTCGCGGGTGTTTTTCATGTATATGTTTTTATCTGCTGAATATGTACTGTATGTCATGTATGGCACTGAATTATGCCTTTATGTGTGCCATTCCGAGTCCCCTTCAGGGTTGAGAAATATGGCATGAGTAAATAAATAATAGAATTAATGCAGTTTGAAATTTCTTTAACTACTGCAGCTCAGTGCTATGGAATCATGGGAGTTATAGTTTACAAGGTCTTTAGCCTTCCCTGCCAAAGACCGCCAGTACCTTATCAAGCTACAACTCCCAGGTTTCCATAGCATCAAGCCATATCAGTTAAAGTGGAATCAAACTGCCTGAATTCTACAGTGTATTGTACCTTTAAAAATCCTATTACTCAGATAACTTCAGGACCTTGGCTAGCAACTTTAGATGCATCTATTACAGTGGTTCTCAACTTGTGGGTC